CCCCACGTCCTGTAATATTTGAAATCTCAAATTGATGTTTGAATTAGTCTCAAGTTGGACCTTCTTTGGAGAGTTCGCTTTTCATAAATTGGGCTTTTTATTAAAAGAATGTCTGTATTTTACCGAAATCGTTTAATCGGCTTGTGAATGTTGATTGGAAAAGCAACTACATATGGCGTTTTAATAATACAGCTGATGCACACCAGAAAAGTGTCTGAAATTTTAATCAACCAAAGGCTGAGCTTCTGATTTGCGATTGAGCTTATGATGCTCTTCCTCACAATGCCACAATGGTGAAATTTGGGAGACGTGGGAGACAATACTCTTCTAATATCGTCAAGAGTAGGTCTCTCTCTGTTAGAGCATTCTGACCACATGTATGAGGTCGGAAGACAAGCACGAGGATGTCAAAGTGATATTAGGAGGAAGCGGCGGGTGTCCTATGACGCCTCTCTCTTTGCTAACATCACGAAATGTTACGAATGCCGTGAAGACCCCATTCGTATGGGAAGCCAAATTTGCAGAACGATGACTTCACTCTAGTCAACACGAGGAGAGGTTGTAAATCCTCTTTCGGAAGGGTTCCTGAGAGTACGCACCTTAACTGACACGTACAGATCAATAGAGACGCTCAAAAAACCCAGTTTTTAGTCAGGAAACTCGATGGAGGGCTTGGGTGCAGAGTTCGCATTCGTTATGGCTGTAAAATCAAAATTGTAATGAGAGTATAAGAAAATCTGAAAAAGTCGTTGCGGATATGTGGGAGGGGATGGCAAACGCTAGTCCCTATAAAATGGCGTCATATCTATTTTGAAGATAAATCCTCTTGTACCGTTGTCCTTTAAGTTTCAAAAAGTTTTGATTAACTTCCATAACAATAATCACCGCGCGTACCACCACAGAACACTATGGATTACAGGCCATGTACACGGCATGTCATTCTGGAAGCTTTGAGCAATGAAGACGGTGAATAGGTACTTTGCGTAGGCTACCATCAAGCTGTTTCAGTCCAAACGGCTTGCAAAAGCGTAGTTCTCCAAAGCCGAAGCTCGGAGCTGAATGCCTCCGCCGGCAAGCCGTACATCCGAAACGGCCTGGCATTTGTAGTACTGTTTGCTAGACCACCTTACACCTAGCAGTCCCTCTAAGATTCGTCTATGCCTTGTAAGCGTGGGCTGGCTTTCGGACCATGCTTAGGCTTAATTTCTTTGTTCTCCTTGGAATACACTTATTCAGATCCACTTAACGCAACTGCCCAATGGGAAGTCTCGGGACGCTACAGACTCTAAAAAACTTCATCTTATTGATATAAACGCATATTTTTAGGCAAAAATTGTAAAGGCCACTTTATTAACGTTTTAATTATTATATTTCACGATTTAAATTCTTGTGTTTGGGAGTGGATTTTACACCGGTTTGGTTATGGCTTAATCTCTGGGCTCGCGCGTCTCCTAATTCGATAGGGTGGTCGTTACGTATAGTGGGTAACTTCTTTTGCTTGAACAGTTTCTTGCGCGAATTCTTGTTCCGTGCCTGCTGAAAGTCATTTTAATTAAAGTCTATTGTAAATGTGCATAAATTAGATTCCTTTAAGATCCGTCATCTAGCTATATTTTTATCAGGTCATAGTGTCTTCTGGATTCTTGTGGCGGTTTAATCCACAATGCAAAAATCTTTTGTTGTCCTTCATCCAGACTTTACTGTTGCGATGACTAGTTTGTGCTTGATTCTGTTTGTAATGCGGTGCATAGCATGGTTTTTGTCTTGTTAAAGCTAGTAACGATCACTATCACTACCAAAGTGGCCTTTCACCTTTTCCATAAAATGGATAAATGGATGTCTAATTTACCCGAAGACCTCGCTAAAGTTCCTCTCTCGCTACTAGCGATTCCTGGTAGGTCGCTTCCGTATGGAAGCACATGTTCTTCTAGAACCTCTTGTTATATTGTATAATTCTCATGTTGTCCTTTTTCCATGAAAACGACTGTCTTGATATCTCGAGCTGAATTTCCAGCTTATAAGTTTCAGCCCTATATAATCTTGCTTAAATTATCGATTCCCAATCCTAGTGACACTTGCATTAAATGTTATTACATGTTTTTCCCTTATTGTTTTCAACATTGGATGGTAAGTTCTAATTTCTGATGTCATTTGGTTGGACTTGGTTCTATTTGGATTGATATAGGTTCCCACAATTCCTGTTCATACTGCATTAATGGAGAATCTGAGTTGTCTCAAGATAACGAAGCATTCCTGGCTTTAATGCTTCTTGGAAAATTTGGCAAATCGCTCTCCGCTCGATGGGGTCGAACTCAGAGCGTCGGTTTATCTGAACAACTGGCTGCGGGAATTCGCTACTTCGACCTGCGTGTTATTCGACGTGACATTGACGACCTTTGCTACTTTGTTCATGGCCAGTTTGCAAAAGAAGTGTCAGAAGAATTGGTAAGCATCCGCTCCTTCCTCCAAGAACATCCAAAAGAGGTCGTCTTATTGGATTTCAATCATCTCTACTCATTTTTTACGCCTGATTCTGCATCGTTTCTTGAAAAAACTATTGTGGGGGTGAGTAACCATCGCGTTGAGGTATATGCTGGGCTAATGACGTTTTACGTCCTGTCATTCATGCAGGTGTTTGGCTCGATGCTGTTTCCGCGGTCAGAATGCATTCCATCCCTTAATGATTTGTGGGATGGTGCTTTTCAAGTGATCTGCTTTCTACATGCACAAACAGAATCACCGGTCATGTGGACGTGTGAGAAGATCTCCTCCCCTTGGCCAAATACAGTGGATGTGGACAACCTCATCTTATTTCTCAATTTGCATCCGCCGTGGGTTTTTGTGACATTCGAAAATTTGAGTTCGTATAATGTTACAAAATGGAGTGGTGCAATTGGGCAACGAATCGGTTCATGGTAGAAATATACGGAACCATCTTCTCTCATAAATCAAGTTGGTGACATTTAGGACTGTTTGAGCAATGTCTGGGTTGCGAAGTGTGTATATTTTCAGAGGAACAAGATGGAATCGAAGCGGAGGTATATTGGTATATTGGCGTTCTTCAGTACTATTACTCTTAATTGTCCGTCTCCATATGATTTCTTTTGGCAAAGTGGGTTCCGAGCAGTAAACAGAATAATTCCATTTTCTCTTGGATTTGTCAAATTTTCAAACCAAACCTGTTGTAGTTGGGCTGCAGTAATTATTACTATTTTATTACTGTGCTATTTCCGCCAGTTTTCAATTTCCTTGTGATTCATAGAGATTAAATCTTGACGATAATGCTTGTAACCTAAGGAATGAAGGAAGAGGGGTTTGTATTGCTTTGATTAAATGGAAGTTATGAAAGTGATGCGTTTTTCCAAGGTGGGTCTTTTCTTAGTTAATGTGGACCAAAGTTCTGTACTTGAGTAATGGCACCAATAGACGAACTTTTCTGACTATGCACAAAATAGCTTAATTAATCCTAGGTATACTGATCTTGTAGTAATTTTTTGGACGGAAAACAGCAATTAGCGCTGGTTATAGCTTCGATAATGCTCATTCCGCAAATTTCAGATTTAGCCGACTTATTTTTAAGCCGATTGAGTTCACAAACTTGATGAATACTCAAAACGCATCATAAGTAGAAATTGGTTGCCATGTCTGATGACCTGCTATCATTTTACGAGGGTCCTAGAGGTAGGATGCTTTCAGCTCTCATCTCACCTGTGAACCAGTTTGTTCCATCACTCGGCATTATTTGGATACTTCCTCGGTTTCATTATCGTCCCACAATTTTATACAAATACTACAAGTTTGGCCTTTCCTTTGCAATATTTCCATTTCTTTTCCTTTTGCAAATACAGTTTGGCATATTCCCAGTTTATACTGATGTAACTGCAGAACATTACTTCAGCGAAACAATGTACATAATGGGGTAGTACTGTTAGCAGCTTTGGCTGCTCTAAATTAGACATTAATTCTATGTTCCTTTTTAGGAATGGCATCGACAGATTTCATGTGACTCAAGGTGTACTGACTCCAAACTTGAACTACGTGCTAAATAATATGGATTCGGAACTAGCTACATTGGCTGCATCTGCAGGAGAAAGGGTGATCAAATGGCTTTCTGAAGGGGTTGGACGGCGCAACGTAATAATGATTGACTTTGCAGTCCGGATGTTCCCTCATTTTGCAGAAACAGTGATAAGTATGAATAACTCCAGATAGTTTCAGCTGCCCTTGCACTCATTACTTTTTGTTGCCCTTATTCTTCATGAAGTAAGCAGAATAATAGGATCTAGGATGAACATCGAGACTAGGGAAGGCGTCGCCGTATAATTGTAACATTATGCTGTTGAATAGAGATGTGGTATTGATGCAGGGCCAGCATAACCTAACTTTGTTTGAATTCTTATTTCTGCTCTCAAAATCTGGAGCATATTGGCTTTCCTGAAAAGATGCATATGGGAACGGGCTGAATTCGCTGAACAGAACACGTAAGCTGTTGAGTATTTTTGCTTAAGAAACAAGTAATTTCGTGTCTGGACAGGTGGGACCGATTTCAAGGCAGAGTGGGTTAGACTCGATGGTCCTGTGTCTCGTTCCTCATGTGGGAGCATCGCAGTGATTAAGCTGACAGAAAGCATTTATCTCAAGGGGAGGGAAGAGTAGGATCTATGCATGGTCAGGAGGTTAGGACACGCATACAGGACAGAACTTTGATCAAAGTAGGGGCAAGATATCATCGTTGGCAAGTGGTATTAAAGGCATAGTAAGGCTGTTGGGGGCAGGTATATTAATGAGTGACCAACGTGGAGTTGCAACTATTCATGTTGCAGTATGCATAGATCAAGCGGTATGATCAAATTCTGGAGGACTGTTCACTATCGTGGTATGGCATGCAGATCATGGAGTTTTCAATTCTAGCACCCATCTGACATTACGATAACCTTGCCAAATGATGAAGTGCTGTAAATTACCAAACACAACTAAAGGATAGAGGAATAATTTCTCAAAGCAATTGCATGCACGAGATAGTGGTATTATCTATGATGGTATTGCTTTGAAAAGGTTGAGGTTTCGACTCTACCTAACATTTTTTTAATTAAATATAGAAGTATTAATAATGCCATGAAACATCACAGTTGCGCATTCAATAAGATATTTAGTGCAGCTATTCCTGCAGCAACAAAATGGTGAATAAGTTAGTTTTAGTTTACATTTTGTGAATACGCACGAACCTGTTGTTCAGCTTTGAATAACGCACTATTTAAATTGTACCCATGTCGTCTGATGATGTCGTTCCTGCTGCCAAATGTTCAGCGAATGATCACTTTCTACGTAAAGGCGATGCAACATTCATTAAGCTCCAGGATCTTCCCGCAACCTGGTTGTGTTTGCTTCCTCCAAAATCAAGTTGGGTCATTTATGGTCGCTCAAAGATAACTCTGCTTCAAAAGAGCGTTGTGGAAATTTTTGGGGCGCATATCAAAAATGTTTCCTCTTTGGCTGTAAGTGTGTATGCTCCGTCTACGCAAGTTCCTATTGATTTGAGAACACCTTCCACTTGTGATGTTTCCTCAAATGAGTCGCTCTCTGATTTGGTCTCTGAGCTTGCAAATGTTACCAGTCTATCACAGGAATACTTATGGAACAGGTTGAATGACCTATTCACAAGCTCGGCCGATCTGTCTCATTTTGCGGCTATCGTTTTGCTTCAACCTCTTCCATGCCCTGTCATCGAATCAATTACAAAAATGCGATGCTTTCGAAATTTGTTTTCCCATCCGATTTGTGATCTTACCACTGACAAGCTTACCGTTGGTGGTGACACCTACTCCATCGAATCAGCTTCTGCCGATGAGGGTTTTGTTGAGTCCTCGGAGATGATTCATTTTTTTGAAAGGTTTGATTCTCGGAAGGGTAAATCATCTGAATTTCGCGTTTACACTTTTAGGCTTAATGAATCCAAAAATTTTTATTTGCGGCCCTAGAAACTCGGGAAAGTCGACACTCATAAGACGTCTTGTCAATCGTTTACTATCCTTGGGTGGGTTCGGAGCCGTTGCTGTTTTGGACTTTGATCCGGGTCAATCAGAGTTTACGCCCTCCGGTATGCTGAGTCTGACCATAATTAAGAACTTCATTCTCGGACCACCATTTTCTCATGCGCTAAGCGGACTATTCCGACCTACCAGGTGAGTCGCATTTATTTTTTGAATCTTTTAACAGTAGTGTATTCGCATAACTGGTTATTTCGCCGTTCCGAAGCCCTACTAATTGAGTCGTTTGCTGATTTTATATGCTTACATTATTCAATGGTGCACATTTGCCTTATCTTCTACAGGCAATGTTTTTATGGAGGAACTACACCCTCGGTTAATCCTACTTTTTATGTCGAGTGTCTACGTTATGTTATCGGAGACTTTAAAGAGTGTATTAAAGCCCAGTGTCCTGTTATTGTTAACACGATGGGTTGGACCCAGGGTAAGTCCCCAATGTCATTTTATCGCATTACACGATTTTATTTTTTAATTAATCAAAGGACTGGGACTCACATTGCTCATTGAGCAGATCGTATTGACTAAACCGGATGTAGTCGTCCAACTGTACCAGCCTCCCCCCAGAGGCAATCCCCATCTAAATTTGCCCCTTCTTGCGCCGGAGTTTTTGAGAAATGCAAGAGGATGGGACAATGCAGTGGGTTATCTTGTTTTTCTTTTGGAAGCTTTGTCTTTGTATTTTAACAGTGTAGACAAATTCAGTTCCGTATTCCTCCTTTTTGTTCCAAACTTTAAACTTTCAACGGATTTAGTATTTTATCGATTATTGTCTTCTGAGTGCTCTCACGTACTTGCTACTATTTTTCCATTCATCGTTTACATTTAAGCAATGTCGTTGTGCAAGGGAAGTTAGTTATTACTTTATTTTCCTTGAAAATTACTGCAGAACTAAAAATGTTCTTTATTGCATTTAAGAAGCATTTATTTTACGCAACGTCCTTATGACCATTGTTCTAAGTAATCTTTGTTCACTTGAAGCAATTGCAATATTTATGACCATGCTCCAGCTGAAGACGAGCTTTTGTTCCAAAATTTGTTAAGGACCTATCGAAAGAGGTATTTAACCATGAAGTCATCCTCCTTCCATCAAGAAGTCGTTGGTAAGTTGTCTATACGTTTGAGGTATTTGACTAGCATTGCATTAGAATGCATGGATCCAAAGCTCAATTCTGGCTAGTGACTGTTCTTTCGGAAGGAGCCCAATACGTAGGCTTTTATTTTAGCGGTTCTGCAGGTTTCGCATCTTCACAAGATCAACGTGACCTAACACTGCTTGGTCATCTCTTGTCTGACCTTGTGGGTGCAGAAACGAGTTTGCCTGGCTCGGGGCCCTCCGGTCGCGGCGGGATGCCGCTGGGACATCCCACTGCTCACCTGCTTGACTGTATACCCTATAAAGTTCCTTTAACCCTCTCTGAAAAGCCTGAGGCTGGGCGGCCGCTTGCAATCCATCTCCTACACCAATATTCCGGTAACGCAGACACTACCCTCTACAATCTGCCAGGCCTGGCGAACTGTCTCAACGCCACTCTCGTTGCTCTCTGCTCAGTTCCTCAGGAAAAAGTGAGTATCTGTACTCTGTCCTGTAGTTTACTCATCATTGTTGATTGTGCTACTAGCAATGGTATTCATTCCTATCAGTCTGATACACTAAACTTATTCTGGAAGTGCACGATCCAAATAATGTTTTTTGTCCGTTAGAGACGTAGATTTGAAACTCACTGTAAGCAATTATTTTGGTCAAGTAGCCTAACATTATATAAAGTGTCATTAGGTAATTTTAAATGAAATTAATTTGATTTGCTGAACGTAAAAAAATGTGGTTGGTGTCTTAGGTAGATTACCACTTTGCCAAAGATTTAGAATGCGAACGTTGGGTTGCCTTCATTCTGCCGTATATTGCTACGCATTGTCGTTTAATATAATTATGCTCCAGTGGGATGTGATGATCTCCGGTATTACTAAATCCTGAGATCACTTATGCAGTTTTGACTCGATTCTATGCACAAACTTGTCTCAAAGGTAATTGACCTTTCGCATTAATACTAGTCTACACCATATCTGTAGATCATTCCTCCTACTGAATTGGGTGGATTAACATTACTCTCCCAGATGCCACCCTGCGAGTGTCTCGGCTTTGGTAAGTCTCCTCCATTTGTATTGGTGTGGGAGGAGGTGGAGGATGAGGGGAGGGGGACGACATTGTAATGGGTTAAAACTCGGAAATCGCCTTGATTCAAGTTTTTGAAATTTTGAATTTTGAACTTGTGCTCTGACAAAGTAACTTTGCCCTAACTTCAATCTATAATACTGCACTTGGTCTTCGGGTTGAAGAAGGTTGGCATACATGAGGATGTAGTCAATTCTTCATATTATTTGTTATTCATTTAAAAGTCGCCCTTTTCTGCCGTGATTACAGCAGTGAAGTTTTGTGATTTAAGATCGGCAGCTACAAGTGCTAACAGAAATAAAAAGGCTACAGTGGTATGAACCGAGATACTAATGCATATCCTTACGTCTAAATGGCCGTACACTCGGATGCATAAGGAAAACAACGTCCATCTGAGCTGTTAACAGTACCATTATTCAACTGCTATTGGTCATCCAAATCTGTTCACAGGTCTTTTACTTCGTAGCGGTTGTGAGGGCATTAAATCCTGACTCAGGATTTATCTACCTCACTACTGGTGTGCCCTTAGAAGAACTGACCAGAGTCAACGCCATCATACGGGGTAAAGTCAACCTTCCCCATTCTCTGTTCACTGAGCAAGTATGTTGGGATTTTGTACCGCTTTCACTGCATGGTGTAAGTATGGTGAACTCTTTTCATCGCAAAATAAATATTCCTCCTTACTGCTATCCATAGCCCTTAACGACAGAGGCTCTTCTCTCCTACCCAACGCAGCGGCAGCCGCGACCACCCTACCTGGGAACCGATTACCCCATAGGCTCTGGACGGACCGGTCTTCCCACTCGTCGTCACCATCCTCGCGTGATGCACCACTCACCAACATCCCTGCGGAATTCTGCGCAGCTCTAAGGCATTTACTAATGTGGCAATTATTGTGATGTATTTGTCTAAATCTTCTATCGCGCATTCACTCACTTGTGGTTTTACGTTTACTTGGAGTGTAAACGATGTGTCTCGAGCATTTCAATGTGTGGCATCCACAATTCTTCCACAACTTTGTGGCTAACGGGTTCCACCAATCAACTCATTGCTTATGCAATGTTGATAGATGAATGCCATGGAGAACGACCTCAGTTTATTTCTTCGTAGACAGGCGTGATTAATTGATCACAGGTGAATCTCAAAGCATGTTACTCAATTTTTTAGGATGGCGCAACTTTAATGTCCCATTGGCTTTGCAGAATGACTGAAGTTCATTCCCTATAAATTTACCATTGAAGTTACAATGAACGAACCCAAATTGGCAATTGAATGAGGCGTTGATGCAGTTTAATGGCTCATTGCTTCACGTGACGTCTCCCACGTTTTGGTTTTTGTCGCTTGCTTACAACATTAGCTATATCGATATTTTGTTTTGCTATGCTGTATAAAACAAAATTGTGCTCCTCATTACTAATTGGAGCGCTAAGACTTGAAGTGGAGCTGTTTCGTTTTGACTGGTCTGTTTTCAAATTCAAAACTCGTGTCAAACCTCAATAATCACTGTCACGAATTTTGAACCGCTTGCAGCTTAATGGGTAGCAGGACATTTCTTCCTAGCGTTTTTCAGATCGTCGCTGCACGCAATATAGCGGGCAGATGTAGGTTTCAGCGGATAGCTACCACAGAGATGTGTATTTGGTCTCTGAACATCATTCAAACTTGCTTTTTGGCAGTCGCTTTCTCGGTGGATGAGATTTTCCACCAGGTATTCACTCTCCTTTCGTTTTACCCAACCCACGGCGGTGTTGATTTTGTACCCACCAACGAAACCACTGCAGGGATTACTCTGATGCTTACTGTTGGACTCTGGAAGATTCACTATAGCCGCGCTATAAACGCTCCCGAAAGAAACTCTGCCTTCCAGTTGTACGAAGCTCACTTCACGTTTCTTAAGACAGTCTCCGATGTGTGCCTCAGCTCTGGTCTGAGAGGACCTTACTTTGCCGAAAGCGCTAGAATTCTCCTGGGTGTCGCCCTTACGACAGTGTTTTGTAATTTTTTCACACTTCTCTTTTCACGCATGGTGTTCTTCTACGCCGCGTTGGGAGCTGGGCTTGCTTGTATGAGCGGCATATTCATGATTGCACTATGGCTCGTCGAGATACTCAGCTGCACAAGCGCCCTATCACTTGATGGCACGCGACCCAATACCTCACGAGTCATCTACATGCGAACCGTAGACGCTCGTCCGGTCATCCTGACAACCAGTTTCTACCAATATCTCGCCTGCGCAATAGTCTCCGCATTTCAAACCCCAATCCTTATGCTTAATATGAATATCCTAACCGGTTCTTAAGCGCTACTGCCAAAAATGACTGAAGGTGGACAATCTTGAATCAGTTTTCACATAACGTGACAAGAAATTTGAACACCAATTTTCATCATCAATAATAGCACAAATACTAGTTCACCTCAAGCTTTAATCATTCCTTGATGATACTCGCGACATTGCATAACGCATGTATTAATATTGACGATGGAAGAGTTAGTTGATGAGTGATAGCACTTTCTTCACAAGAAGGCCAATGTTTTCAAATACGTCAGCAATTGTAGCCGTGGCGCACATATAGGCAGGGGCAGTAACGACCTTGAGATCTTCATCGATGCACACTTCCTGAAACGAATAGTCAGGTATCAGCACTAGTTCAGCCGCCAATCGGTAGCATCAAGATAGAATATTAGTTTTCTGAGAGGCTTCAGTAAGGTGCAGAGAAAAGGGCAACGAAGGTTGCAGCTTCGATTGGACGAGTGTACTAGTCAGCAGTCATCCCATGCACGTTTGCTTGAGAACTTACGGTGATTTCGCGGTTCTCATGAACGGCACCCATTTTTTTGATAGCCATAGCAGTACCGGTGTCTGTGCCAGTGGTTACATGTACCCCAGGCAGGCAGCGAGCAGCCAACACTGGGGCAATGCAGCAGAGCCTGATGCGAAGAAAGAAATGTTATTCGTAATCATTGTTAGTAGATTAGTAAATAGGCTTAGAGATATAAACCTTAATGCCGAGAAGCGGAGTAAATGCAGAGCTGGCAAAGGGG